GTCGGCAGGAAATTTGATATATACGTATGTATGGTTTTTTGTTTTCAAAACAGAAAACAATTGTGAAATTCCTCCTCCCGCACTCTACTTCAAAGCCTGATTCCAACGCCGTCCGACCTCCGACCGTCAAATTGAAACCACCATCGTGTTCATCTTCGACCCGTGAACAAAACTCAGTAAATCAATTATAGCGAAACGCTGCCAAACGACGTGAATTTCGAGTCAAAGTCTCGACGTTTTTAGCACTACCGCCGAGAAAATCTTAAATTCATCTCCGATCGTTGATCAGTTTTCGACACCTCCCGCACCATCGTGTTCCTTGTGCCGTTTTGAGTCCGCCGGTGTCAACCTTGGTCTCCGTCGACGGCGGCGCGTGAGGAGGTGGAGCAGTTAAAGATTCGGCCGAGGTGGAACAGTTTTAGTGTCGGCCCGGAGAAGGCCTCACGCGCCGCCGCAGGGAGAGTGAGTGGCTGAAAACCGGTTTGACCGGTTTTGAACCAGTTTCGACCGGTCTAAACCGGTTTGACCGGTCTAAACCGGTCTGACCCGACCCGACCCGACCCGACCTGACCGACCCGACCGTTGACCGTTGACCGTTGACTTCCTTTGACCAAAACTTAAAATGGCTTTGACCGACCATTAAACAACCGTTAATCTTTTCTGAGTATACCTATTCTGATAGTTTTCGACGTCCCAAATCCGTTTTCGAAGTCCGTTTTGTCAAATTCGAACCCGAAGGCCTCCAAATCGACGGTCAAAGTGATTGACTTTGACTTTGACCAAGAATTTAAATTTTTGAAAAGACATACTTTATGTTTTTCGACGTCCTGATTCCGATTCCGTAATCCATTTGGCCAAATTCAAACCTGAAATCCTCCAAATTAATAGTCAAACCCTGAAAATGCTTATATACTTAAGAATTTTAGCTTTGAGCAATTAAGTAAGATTTGGGGTTGATAAATTATTATTGTTTGAAGGTACAAAAGATTCTATGGATCGTTCGACAGCTCGACCCATCTCTTCTAGATCAGTTAAACCACGTGTGCCAGTATTCACCGTAGACCCGTAAATTTATGATTTTAGAGATTTATTTATGTTACCCATAAGTAATAAAGGGTTATTACAAAATAGGTTCGAAAACTGTAGCAAAGCGTGGTGAAACCAGCAATCAGTAGATCTACTATTTGAACCTATTATCGAGGTGTGTTCCCTAATTATTACTGAACTGTTTTATTGGTTTTAATGTGAGGTACACTGAGCTCTTTGGTTACTGTTTTATTGATGCACCAATTTAATGTGATGATTTATGGAATTTGTGACACGGTGCAATTGAACTTTTGGATTGAATTACAATAGTATATCTCTGATCAAGCTAATAAACAAAATGGGCCTAATGTGACTCTTGGGGCCCCAAGATACATTAGGTTGGCTTCCCTTGCTGTGTGCTTAGGGTAAGCTATATGGACTTGGACTTACGGGCCTAAGGATACAAGCTCTAAAGCTTATCCTTAGGTGGTTTTCTTTTTGCTGTGTGCTTAAAGTAAGCTATATGGAAAATAGTTTTGGGAACTACTGATGGTGTACAAGAAAAGGGTTTAAACTATGATTTTCAAAAGTTAATCTCTTTTATGAATTTATGAGATTTGTTGGACTATGATTTGTTTATGTACCTATTGTGATTTAAGGTAATATTGGGACACTGAGCCTAGCTCACTTTTCGAAAATGTTTTTCCCCTTTCAGATATTGGTTAGATATCTCGGTTCGAGCACTTGGAGGATCAACATATCTCTTGAAGTATATCTGATTGTAATGTTTTATCTTGCTAGTTGATTTTATTTTGGTGACATGGACCTTATTTTAAAGTATCATATTTTAGGATGATGAACTTTTACTATTACTGTTCGGTTTATTGTGATTTTGATTTTGAATACCTGTTTTAAATTAATTTATTACTTATTGGTATTATATTTACAAGTTGGGTTTTGATAGTTTAATATCATGTCATTTATAATGTGATTTTACAATGATTGAATAACGGTTTCAGAAAATGTCTTTAAAATCATGTATGTGATCCACTAGACTTAGTCGAAACGCATAGGCCGGGTCTGGGGGGTTACATTCATCGTACATCGATATTCTATAGACGCATTTCTATGAGGCTTGCCCATATTGGTGGAAGGTTTAATGGAGGAAACATGATATAAATTTAAAATGGTAAATTTTCTAGGGAAATATTGGGAGAGGAAAAGAAACTGTTTGGTTAGGTTAAGGAAGAAGATGGGGTGGGTTTAAAGAAGAAGAAGACGACTCGGTCAAAATGGTCTAATTATAGTGGTAAACGATCCAACTCATTAGATAACAGTCAAGCTGTGATTTCTGTTATGTCTATTAATGATTGTTAACGCCGAGTGATAATTTTGTAATAAATAGTGATTGATTTGTAACTTTTCAAACATCAGTGATAAAAATGAATACTTACGCAAACATTAGTGACTATTGTCGTAATTTTTCCTAAAATTTATGAAGTATGTAGAGTTTGGGTTTAGAATAGATTCTGCATTGTGGTCCTGATTTCAGGCTACCTAATCTCACTTATTATAGGCTGTAATTTCGGGTTATAAATAATTAGTATTGGCATTTATTGTCACCGACGTCGTTTTCATTGGGAAACATATATGATTTGGCTTTGACCTATTTAGATCTATCCTCTGTCAAGCGAGAATTGTACTTTATAGTGGTAAATATATATATTTATATACAAACAGGAAGATTCAAAGTCAAAGGAGGATCAATATCCACTTAGAAAATGTACGGTGGATGCTGATTTTAACATTTCCATACCGTAGTTGTGCCTATCAATATATATTATAATAATTTTTAAATTTTTATAGTTATTGTCCATAATTAGTTGATTTAATAAGATACGATAATTGAATTTCTTAAGTAATATTAGAGTTTTAAATTCTGATGTTTGTGAATGAAATAATATGAGTTGAAAAAGTTGTCTTTGTTCTACAATATTCGATTTAAATTAGTCTATTGATCAACCAGACACAGATGATTATACTAAAAAATTACATACTTTAAATTTTAACAGATTATAAAATTTTGAGTAATTTATAATATGATTTTTTGGTAAATTTCAAATATAATTTTAATGTTATATAGAGAGGAGAGGAAGGTGAAACTCTAATAGAAATAAAAAGGAAATACTCCTTATAAATCTTATAATAATCAGAGTAAAAGAAATATTAATAAGCGGTGAACATGAGCAGAATGTCATGTTTAAACAAAGAGGAGCAAAACAACCCCACAATGGCAGCTTTAGAATCGGCAAAATCCGAATGTCATGAAATCAGAATGAAAAAACTTCAAGTACGTCCATAGATCTGATCTTTTCACTATGAGATGTGGGACATTTTGGACAAATTTTACGTTTTCCCATGTCAGAATGTGATTTGGTGATATAAATTGAAAAGGTATAATATTAAAATTATCACCCAAGGTTTATTAAAATTATCACCCAAGGTTTATTAAAATAATTATTTTAATAATTAAAAATGTTACTCGATATATAAAAATAATTAATTAACAAATAATTAATACTATAAAAATAGTTAATTAACAAATAAATAATGCTATTTTATAGTTAGTTAACAGACAATTCAACAACAAGTTTTAATAAAACAAAAAGTTAGAAAATGTTTGAAATTTACCACTTGTGAAAATACTCATCTTTCAAAACCAACTGTATCTTTATCGCATCCTCTATTTTAATTTAAATCTGTATTTTCGAATGTAATTTTAAATCAAATTAAACTCTCTTCATTTCAGGGTAAGCGTTTGAACAAACTGAGTAATTTTTTTTAAATTATTCGAGTAATTCAAACTTTATTTAAATGTTTAAGTCGAATTGTTTTAATTTTTATTTAAATTTTATTATAAATATTTATGATATTATAATACCATTTGATTCAATTTAAACAAATTTTTTATAATCATATACAACATATAGTTTTATGCCCATTTAGAATCGTTGAATGCGGGGAATCAAATGTTGCGATTAACTCATTATTTTTTTTCAATGAATATATTCTCATTTACTACTATTAATCTCAGCATTTGATTTATCCTCATTCAACGATCTTAAAAATGTGAAAATATTTTTAATTTTACACTACTTAATTAGATCCTAACATATATATATATATATATCTTCATATTTTTTGTATGTGGTATAAAGAGTTGAGTGAATCGACTCAAACTTAAAATCTGATCTACTATTATTAAAAATATCGAGTTATTAGAGTTATTCAAGTTTTATTTTATAACTCGACTCAACTCGAATTTGATAAACTCAACTAAAACAATTCAATGAAGTTTCAGTTATAAAATAAGACTCATTAATATAAATAACTCAATTTTTTTTATTTAACTTAACTCGACCGAACGACCACTCCTAATTGAAGATAAAGTTTATTACAACAAGTAATTTTACTACAAAATATCCTAGCGCAAGTCTTTTATTTTTTATTCGAGACGTGACTTTTTTCGATAAACAAATAAATAATAAACTTCTAAATGAGTTAACAGACAAATTTATTCGTCAATATAAACTCGTCAATATAAATGAGCTAACATATTTTTATTTATGTTAATTCATTCATTAAATAAAGATGAAAATTTTATTCATATTTATTTATTTAATATATAATAATTATAAGAATAATTCATACATAATTTATTAAACACTATATTCAATTATAACTTGAATAAAATACTTGTGATTTCAGATTTCATTAATCAAATAAAATAATTGAAAGATACAGTTGGACAAGAACTTCAGTGGTGGATCTTTAGCGCGTTTATTAGTAGAGAAGAAATGTGTGAAGATAAAAGCTTGAAGGAGATTTGAGTTGTTTTTTTCAAAGCAACTCGTTCATCATTTATTAACAGCTTTCGCATGTATTTTGATTCAAACCATTTCATTTGATTAGTGTTATTTTCCCCCAAACTTTTCACGAGCTCTGTCCTGTTCGGGTCGATACAAAAACCGCCTACTCGAGAGAGGTCGCCATTTAAGCAAGGCAACAAACACATAAAAGAAGAGTTTTCTCTTAGTTCAAACAAAAGGAATTTTCTTCTTTAGATCATAATTTGATGAAATCTCGCTTGTTTTAAGCCTCCCTTTGCGCTATCTTCATCTGCACACCTCTACTTGTACAAACAAGGTACACTTTTCCTTTTGTTTTTGTATTATTTTTGTTCCCCTTCGCGTGTGTTTTCTAACTGTTTTTGGTTTCGTTAGATTCGATATCGTTTTTCATTTTCAAATGATTGATCCAAAATGGGTTTTCCTCGTTTAAATCTGGGTTGCCATTAAATTTTCGTATTGGGTAGCAAAGAGAAGTTCATTTTAATGTGGAATAAGTGATTTTTGAATGAAGATGAGCTGACCCTTCATTACTCTCAGGTGGCGGAATTCACTCAAAGTGTGTTGTAGGGAAATGTATCTACTTTCCTTTCCTTTATTTCCTTCGAGTCTTTAAATTTCCCTTTTTAATTTTTTCCTTTAGCTGTTTCAGTCTTATAATCGTTCCTGAAAAAAAACCCACTTTTCCATCATCTTCCTTTCACTGCTTAAAATTTGCTTTTCTAATAGGTTCATTTTCAGCAGGGTTTATTAATCTAGTATCTTTAAATTGAGAAAACATACCATTTGATCTTATTTCAGTGAAGAGTTTCTTTGCGTTAGCTAAACCATTTCATGGCTGTCTCTATTAAGATTTAACATTTGTTTAGAGGAATATTACGGATTTAGCATGTTTCAGAGAGTGGATTTGAGTAGAATATATCAAATTTAACAATTTCACCGAGTTGATTCTTGGGTGTTTATATATTTTCCCCCATCTTGCCGACCCTTGGGGATTTCAGGTTATAACAATGTCCCGGCCTCTGCATCGAGGTGTATCTGGAATACGGAACTCGGGCAACAGCAATGATTTTTGGGACTCTCAAGTGAAAGATAAAGCAGAGAAGGAAGATTTGGATAGAAATCACCCTTCCGATCCGAGCTATTCACCACTCAGGTTTCCTTTTCGGTTATTTTGTCCGGATAATTCACCTTCTAAATATGGTACCACTGAGGATGGTTTTACATCTGATCCCTTCAGTGTTGGTTCTCCAAGAAGCCGGCATAAGTTAACCGTGCTATTTTTGAAGTTCAGTTTAGTTTTGATTGTGATTCTTGCCCTTACTGGATCATTTTGGTGGACACTCTCCATTTCAACAATGTCTAGGGGTCATATATTCCATGGTTACAGACGACTGCAAGAGCAACTTGTTTCTGATTTGTGGGATATAGGTGAGCTTTCACTTGGTCCTTCAAGGATGAAAGAAATAGAATTATGCCCTGAGGAGTCTGAGTATCACATTCCATGCTTTAATGTTTCGGAGAATCTTGCTTTGGGTTATTCTGATGGTAATGAGTATGATCGATTATGCGGACAAGGCTATAAGCAAAGTTGCTTAGTTCTTCCACCTGTGAACTATAAAATTCCTCTAAGGTGGCCAACTGGGAGAGATGTAATTTGGGTTTCAAATGTCAAAATTACTGGTCAAGAGGTCTTCACTTCTGGCAGTTTAACCAAGAGGTGGTGAGTGGAAGTTTCTTTTGTCAGTCAACTTTCTTATCTAACTGCCTTTATTTCCAAATTCATTTTATTTCTTCCAAAAATCATTTATTAAACTCCTTGATTTATGCAATTGCAGAATGATGATGCTAGAGGAAGAGCAGATTTCATTCCGATCAGCATCGCTTATGTTTGATGGTGTGGAAGACTATTCCCATCAGATTGCTGAAATGATTGGATTGAGAAATGAATCTAATTTCGTACAAGCTGGGGTAAGCGGGAATTTTCATTAGTCCCATACTTTTACTGTTCCATTGTTCATAGATTTTTTCAATTTGTCTACTTAATCTAGTAAAGTTATATCTGTTTAAATTCAAAGATGGGATATTTTTAAAAGTCATTATTTATTTCTTACCTGACAGTCTAAGCAATTTTCTCTTTTGGGTTTAAGCATGTTCAAATTGTTAATGATACCTTTAATTGCCACCTTTGGAGTGCTATCATTCTGTTAGTTTCTTTTGCATTAGCAATAGAAGTTTGTGTTTATAGTCTCCCTGTGTTGTCTAAATTTAAGGTTATTCTTGCAGGTCAGAACTATCTTGGATATAGGATGTGGTTATGGTAGTTTTGGAGCTCACCTCTTTTCCAAGCAGCTCTTAACCATGTGTATTGCAAACTACGAGTCGTCAGGCAGTCAAGTCCAACTCACACTAGAAAGGGGCCTTCCTGCAATGATTGGTTCTTTCAATTCGAAACAGCTACCGTATCCATCTCTTTCATTTGATATGCTGCATTGTGCTCGCTGTGGTTTTGACTGGGATAAAAAAGGTATCAGTTAACAGTGTAAACCTTGCTCATATGGGATTTGCGGCTTCTTCCCCCCATGGTTTCATCTTCCTACCCATACCCTGAAATGTTATAATTTCTTCTTTTAATAGAAGCAATTTCTGTTGGAACGAAAACATAGGTCTCAAATATTTAATATTTTTGTGGTATCAGACGAAACATAAAATTGTTAATTGTTCTGTATATAACTCCTAGCAGAAGATTTGTTTTGGCTGCTGTTTTTTGTTGTAAGTTCCACAAATTGGCTATGCCTTTACCAACTCTTATATTTGCTAATTTTGACTCTTGACCATATTTTGACTTCTATATTTGACTTATGCCAAGATTATTATATTTGAGCTTTTATTAAATATACTTTTATGCTAAATGTGTGCTACAGATGGTATTTTCTTGATTGAAGTTGATAGAGTTCTAAAGCCTGGTGGATACTTTGTGTGGACTTCACCTCTTACCAATGTTCAGAGTTTTGTTCGTAACAAAGACATGAAGAAAAGGTGGAACTTTGTTCGTGATTTTGCAGAAAATCTCTGCTGGGAATTGATGTCTCAACAAGATGAAACTGTTTTGTGGAAAAAGACCAGTAAAAAGAATTGTTACAATTCCCGGTAAGGCAGTTTTCTTTATTTACATTCTTTTTTTGAAAAAAAAATGAAATTGTTTTGACTGTATAAATTATTGGAAATCCTAATAAGTTAATCATTTGTGTCCAGGAAGCCTGGTTCTGGTCCTCCTATCTGTAGCAAAGGACAAGATATTGAATCTCCATATTATCGACCTCTACAGAACTGTATAGGTGGCACACATAGCCGCCGTTGGCTTCCTATTGAGGAGAGGCCAACCTGGCCTTCTAGATCTAACTTAAACAAGAATGAACTAGCACTATATGGTAATTTGATGTTCTTTGGATACTTTTGTTAGAAGTAACAATTCCATCATATAGGCAATGATATAAGAAATTTCTGTCTCCCACTTTGATTTATCAGTTTGCTGATCTTTTTTGATATTTTGGCAGGATTAAACTCAGAAGAACTCAATGAGGATACTGCAAACTATAAAACAGCTGTTCGTAATTTTTGGTCTCTTCTGTCACCTCTAATATTCTCGGATCATCCAAAGAGACCTGGTGATGAGGATCCTTCTCCACCTTATAACATGCTCAGGAATGTGCTAGACATGAATGCTCGCTATGGTGGTTTAAATGCTGCTTTACTGGAAGCAGGGAAGTCTGTTTGGGTTATGAACGTAGTCCCGACAAGTGGACCCAACTACCTTCCCCTCATTCTCGACAGGGGCTATGTTGGTGTACTACATGATTGGTGATTCTCTTCTCAATCTAAACATTTTTATCATTTTGCTGTGTTGTCGTAACATGTCGTTATAGTAATTCCTATGTTGCATATGATTTCAACAACTTAAAAAATTACTGTTCTGATATGGTTTGATTGTTTTCACTGAAAACTTGAATGAATTTAGGACTTTGTGTTGCTTTCGTTTCACAGTTGATTAACCACTCTTTTGAAGATGTGATCTGCTTTACATTAAACCTTTTATGAACAACATATGCCTTCCCCTTTTTGTGGTTTTATTTGTCTGATGATCCATCTGTATCACTTTCAGGTGTGAAGCATTTCCAACATATCCTAGAACTTATGATATGGTTCATGCAGAAGGTCTTCTATCCCTTGAGACCAGTCAACATCGAAGATGCACCATGCTTGATCTATTCACTGAGATAGATCGAGTGCTTCGTCCCGAGGTACTAGAACCAATCTATCAATTACTCAAAACTGGCGACATTTAGCTCCTTTTATGGTTACCTTCTACTGTTTTTCTATCCCTGAAATGATATAACAATTACAGTAGTTGTATATAATAAATCTAAAGCTTAATGTGTTATTACACGCCAAAACACATTTCTGCCATTGCAAATGCTGAAAAACACAATTAAAAAATCGTGTTTTAGAGACAGTGTCCTGCTGTCGCATATTTCGTCTTTATCACGCCCTGCTCCTTAGTTATGCTGCATAAAGATTATCTAAAGAATTTTAGGGATGTTTGCTGGTTTTTATTTTAATGAAATCTAGTTACTGGACTGATCTTAGAAACATGAGTTAGTGATACTAGGCGAACTACTTTGAGTATATTTCCTACATATATGCCAATGAGAACTACGCTAATTGAAAATCTGTTCTGTTTTCATAAACCTAAATGCTTGACGTTGTGCATCCTAAACCCATTCTATCAAATGACTGGACCCTTCGAATGGTACCGATTATATTGATGCATTTGATGGTTGGTGCAGGGTTGGGTGATAATCCGTGACACTGCTCCTCTCGTCGGATCAGCCAGGGCTCTAACAACACGGTTGAAGTGGGACGCCAGAGTCGTAGAAATTGAAAGTAACAGCAATGAGAAACTTCTCATCTTTCAGAAACCTTTCTTTAAGAGGCAAGCAAGTTGAGAACAATTTCTCGATAAATCCCTAGTTCACGTCTTCGAATTCAGGCTCATAATGTGCATGTTAAATAGTCATCATAAAGCTCCACCATAGAAGGGGATATACTATATGTTTTGTTGAACATAAAGAAGATAGAGAAGGAATCTTGATGAGACCAACGGCGACAACTCCTATGGAGCCGTAAGGCAAGCATAGGACTTTTTAATTACTCGATCGAGGCAGAATTGCAAGTGAGAAACTATAGGGTCAGGTTTAAATTTTCATGTTTATGTCTCATTATGAATATACAACCACATGATTAAGATTGTGAAAGATGATTTACAGAATAAGTGCTATTAGCTGTGCAGTATAGATTAAAAAAAAAACAAATAAGTCCTTAGACAGTGCCATTTATGATGAATGTTTTTTTCTTCATTTTATCACCTCTAAGATAACATTTATATTGGTCAGAATTTATGCTTTGTTGATTTTTTTAATGCAGTGATGTATGCAGCGTAGGTGTGTTTATATGGAGAGCATGTAGCATATATATTTTTATAGTATGAGGTGATTATAAAATTATATTTATTCAGAATTTATTTTAGTCATTAACAAGGTAGGTATACCTGCTTAAACCCAAAATTTTAAAGAACAATATTCACTTCAATCACAAAACCACTGATCTCGTATCATTACTATTACAGAATTACAGAAATGAATGCATGTGATTCAGTTTTGGTGCCTTGTGTTTGATGGTGGGGTCTTCTCTTGGACCTATCACGTCAATGCAGTGTCATATTGCAATTGAATTTGAGCGCTGAGTAATTATAATTAAAAATGATGGAATCTTGATAAGTAAATGATATTATGTGTAGTATGTTTTTGTTGGTTGATGAATAACCCTTGATTATTGACACCCATATTTGCATTCAATTCCCCTTTATCACGAGTTATGATGTAAAATTGCATTCATCTTTGGTACCATTAATAATGCTATGATAATTTATTAAATTGATATTTGTTTTCGTCACTCTAATAAGACATGCAATAGGAGTCTTAACTTTTTCTTAGGGTACTCACTCTAGTTTTCTCTCAGGCACCGTTTGTCTCTTTCTCTTTAGTTTTGTTAGACTGGTCGCATCACTAATTTTGGTGTTCGCGGATGGTCTATAAATATATTTTTTTATATCATATCATTATTTTTTTTATTTTTTAATAATTGTCTTTATAATACTCTAATTTGATCCGATCCAAAACCCGGATGATTAGAAAATTACACATAACCACATAAGTGGCTAACCATATTTTTTTGGGAAAACATTTGACACACCTATAAATTCAAAACATAATAAAATACAAAGTGTATATATATATATTTACAAACTATTGGTTGCCATGGATTCCGGTAATAGTAGTTTACAATCTTCAAGTGGTGATGATGATCATGAGTATGACTCGATGCGAGAGTCAGTCCCAGCTTTTCTGAACACTTCAGGTCACTTTAGTGGTGCCTTATCAAACCCACACCCATCGCTTGGCTCGAACCACCATCAACCACCAGCTTTCTCTTATCCTTGGCCAAGCTATCTCAATAACCCTTTCTCTAAATCTCAACTGCTACATCTTGATGGGGTTAGGCCAGGTAACCTAAAATATGACCCCAACTGCACTGACCATGGTAACCTACCAGGCTTCTCTTCACCGAGCCAGTTGGGTCCACAAGGACTCAACCGTGGTTCATTCCCGAGCTCATCGTCGGTTCAAACAAGGCCTTCTCATGACAACAATGGTGTAAGGTCATCGACAAAGAATCCCAAGAAGCGAACAAGGGCATCACGAAGAGCACCCACTACAGTTCTGACCACCGACACGACAAATTTTAGAGCAATGGTGCAAGAATTCACTGGAATCCCTGCACCACCATTTCCGGGTTCATCGTCATTTTCTCGAAGGCTCGACCTTTTTTGCTCTGGCTCTGGACTTCAATCCGGTCATCTGGAACCTCTCGGTTCTCTCCTACGTCCCTCAGCGAGAAGGGTTCAACCAAATCCATTTGCACCTTCATCATCTTCACCTTCATTGCTAAATAATCCTTTAGTTGATGCTGCTAATACCATTACCGATATCCGCATCCCAAGTAGCTATCAACTTCCTAGTGATTTAGGCCTACTAAAGCAGCCTCAGAATATGTTAAACTTGCAAAATCAGAGCCCCAGTTTACCTTTCCAGTCGTTCCTAGACCCTTCGGTTAATATGCCTGGCTTCGGTGTTAAGACGTCCCATGGAAGTTCGGCAGCGTCCCTTAAAGAAATAGGGCTGACCCATGGTCAAGTCAATGCCAACCTGAGTGGCTTAGCAGCACCTGATGCTGCACGTCATGAGAACTGGAGAGATGGTGTTGGATTGAACCAAGGGAACCAAGATCATCTGAGGGCTTTAGATTGGAATTATGGTAATTCACATGAAGAAGGGATGGACCGGGAATTTAAATAGCGGTTCATTATTGGAATAAAATCGTTACATTGCGATAAAGATGCCGTCCAGAACTGTTATTTTACAATCATTATATTTGTAATTATTGTAATAATACATTCTATTGCTGCAATCACGTTAAACACAACGTAATAAAAAAACGATAGTAACCACAATTTAAATGATGGATAACTTTTCTTCTAGAGGTGAAGGTTCATGGATTTGTCCGGTAGAGTAGAGTTTACCTTACTACAAATTATTTATATATTAATATGCACAGATTTTTCATGCAGAACAACTATCCTAGTTTTAGTGTGGAGAGGCTTTTGCATCAGTATCGTACTTTTTCTCTCTCGTTTCTTTTTTCATCTTAATATATTCCTTTTTTAATGTTCAATTTTCTAAAATAAATAAGAAATTTAGAATTCCAGCATAATACCTGATTCATTCGGATGTATGCTGCAATATACACATACGTTGCCTTCTTCTCTATTAGGATTAAACACTTACGATAGTATGACCATTTGATATATATATATGGATTAGATCCATTTATATTGTGTAATTTTTTTTTAATTTTATAATTCTTAGAATTGATGGATTGAAAAAAATCAAAAGTCGAGATCATTTATTTTTTTTGTCAGAGAATATCTTTTCATTTCTATTGATAATCTCGACTCTCAATTTTTTATCCAATAATCATAAAAATATATAAAACTAATTTTTTTTATATAATATAATTGGATTCCGGCCCTGTACAGGGACTATCGTACTCGGAAGAAAAGTTTTTGCGAAACCGCAAGAAGCAAAAACTTTTCTTCTATGTACCATTGCCCATATATATATATATATATATGAGAAGAAACTGCAAGAAGCAAAAGCTTTTCTTCCAAGTACCATTATCTCGTCTCCATTGCTCGGCTGGGAAAATATATAGGTCGGTGGTGCTGTCAGCAAAAAGGCTGTTAAAATTTTAAAATCCACTTTGAAATTTCAATGTCCACCCAAATGGAATGGTCAACATGAACCTTTTTCTTCTTCTTATAATTAATAGGACGACGGACCCCCACCATCACACAAAACCATATGGACAGTTTTCGTTTTAATTATCTATACGACTGACTTTTAATCTAGTGTAGAAATGAAAAAGATTATAATTTTTCTATTAATATAGAATAAATACAAAATAATATTTGTTTAAAGATATTCAATCTTTTGATATCGAACATTTATAATCATGATATTTATAGTGTTTAAATTCGAGATCTCAAGGAATAACAACCTTTTATCACCGAGATTACTATATAATGCAAGGTTAAATATACACTTAGAATTAATGGAACTGTAATTATTTTTATATTTACATCTAAATTAGTTTAAATTGAACTTTAATTAAAAAGAAGATCATATTAGAATTATTTTCTTACGTCGTTTGAAAATAATTTTTTTCATTTTTTATAAAATTAATATGAAATTACTCTAAAGTTAAATTCATAATATTTATTTAGGATATATTAAATTTAAATTATTTGAAAACAATTATTTAAATTTATTATTTTAATTTTAAAATTATTTATTTTCATTGATTTTACTCTATCAATAGGTAATAATATTTGTCACCGCCTTATTAATTGAATATATTTATTAAAAAAATAACATATGAACAAATGGTATAAAGAGAAAATAATGTGAAAAATAAAAATATTATATCAACATAGTCATTCGGTGATTAAAATTAAAAAAATATAATCATAGTTATAATTTTGTCAAAAAACATTAATGAAAAAAGTATTAATAAATTAATTACGATCAATATAGTTTATCCAAAATAATATGACTAGAGATTGATTATTTACCTAAGTTATGATGGATATGATTTTGTTAAGTATTTTAATTATTAAATTATAGAGATATTTAGGAGAATTAAGGAAGAGATTAGAGAGGAGAGATGGATTGAATCGGTGGCAAAAAAAGATTGAAGGAATCCTTACCTGCCGCAATCATAAGCTACAAGTCAAAACAAATCATATCTTTGATTTACTATTTAATTTAATAATAATTAAATATAAATATTAAAACTATGGGTATAGTACAAAAATGGTCCCTAATTATAGGGTACTATTTTATTAAGTCCTTCGACTATTAAAAGTTATAAAATGACCATTTGATTATAGAATGTTACTTTATTAAGTGTCTCGATTACTTAAAGTTACAAAATGGTCATTCGACTATTCATTATGTTCCAAATTCATCATTTTCATTAAAAAAATTGGCGGTTCTCTAAGTTGGACATTAGCATGATGACTGAGATGTGATAGTCATTTTAGATTTCGGGGTAGGATTTTATCATATCACAGTCAACAAGTTAACATTCAACTTAGAATATCATCAATTTTAACAAAAAAGATAAGTTTAGAACATAAGGAATAGTCGGGTGACCATTTCATAACTTTTTATAGTCAAGGGACTCTACAAAGTAAGACTTTATAGTTGGAGGACCATTTTGTAACTTTTAAAAGTTGAATGAATTAATGAAATATTACTTTATAGTAAAAGGACCATTTGTGTACTTTATCCTAAAATTATATACAAATTTTGATTAAATATAATAATATATAACTATTAATATTATATAATTTTATGGTTATTTTGGTCATTACAATATTTAAAGGTATTTTGATAGCTTCATAAATTAAAATCACTTTTTAAGTTTGTTTTTACATTTCATAACAATTTATAAACACACCACAGTGTTGTACTAAGCGTCCTAACACACTACAGTGCTGTACTAAGTGTCCTTACACACCATAGTGCTTCACTAAGTGTCCTTACACACTATACTGCTAATCTGAGTATGTAAATGCTAGACACTATGCCATGTCAATTACACCCTGTCTTTCAATGACTTACTTGGGCATACATTCTATTTTGTTTGATCCATCCATGGAAAAGTATATTTGTAACACCCATCTCCCATATCATTTTCTGTACAGGAGATACAGATGTCACATCACTTTTAAAATATTTCCTCAAAAACCTTAAAATTTTGCTTCCAAATTTCTTAAAACATAACATTTGTTTTATGTACAACAAAACATTAATTTGAAATCTGTTTCGAGGTTCTATTTAAATAAAATTCAGAGCATTTTTCATACTTTAACTACATGCCAACTAAGTTTTTCAAAATAACTCAGATTGTCCTATTGTTACGACGAGTCAACCTTAATTGATGATAGCTGCTGCTACTGCTGCACTCCTTACTCGGCTAATCTCTACCTTCACCTACGCGTGAAATTAACACACGTTAAATATTTACTAAGTGAGACATAATATTGTAAAGAAACATTAATGTATACATAAGTATATCATGATTTCTTAGTTTCGAACTAATTCATATCATCCATAAGGATTAGATAAGTGCCTGTTACCTAAAATAAATTTCTTTTATACTATTATCATAAATATTCTTAGTATGTCCAGCATACATTTCTTTATGTACATTTTCCCATTATTCTTTAATAATTATTCATTATTTTCATTTATGGCAACCTTTCATGCCTTTAATGCACCATTATGCATTTCATTTATGGCATCCTTTCATGCCTTTAATGCATCGTTATGCATTTCTATGGAATCTTTTCATGCCTTTAATGCATCGTTATGTATTTCATTTATGGCATCCTTCCATTCCTTTAATGCATCATTATGCATTTCATTTATGACATCCTTTCATGCATTTAATGCATCGTTATGCATTTCATTTATGTCATCCTTTCATGCCTTTAATGCACCGTTGTGCATTTCATTTATGGCATCCTTTCATGCCTTTAATGCACCGTTGTGCATTTCATTTATAGCATCATTTTATGCCTTTAATGCATCGTTATGCATTTCATTTATGGCATCATTTCATTCCTTTAATGCACCGTTATACATTTCATTTATGGCATCATTTCATGCCTTTAATGCACCGTTATGCATTTCATTTATGGCATCCTTTCATGCCTTTAATGCATCGTTATGCATGTCATTTATGGCATCCTTTCATGCCTATAATGCACCGTTATGGATTTCATTTAAGTAATGAAAACATATTGAATACCATAAAACATATATTAAAATAAAACATTCTAATTTGAATAATTGCGAATCTTTTTCATCTCCAATAAATACAATAAATATACTCACCTGATAGTCCTCGATAATAAGATGTAATGATGTCGGCTACTTAGTAACTTTATATTTGCCCTTTTCTTACCAGATTCAGGAGCTTGGTTATGATCTACACAAGCATCCATTAAAGACATGTACCATACCCAATGTTAGTATGTTCCCTAAAATTTATACTTTAATAATACTCAAAAGTACTATTATTTCAATTTCTATAACAATTTCAACCTATCTTATAGTTCCAGACTCAATAGTATTGGTACCCCTACCATGGTATCGATACTTCTATACTATGGTATTGATATACCCTTCATACATTATGTAATTCATGGCATCGATACCTTTCTCTTAGTATCAATACTTCTATATTATGGTATAGATACTCCATTTCAGTATCGATACCATTTCGACATCCTGGAATTCCCTGGTATCGATACCTTTCTCTTAGTATCGATACCCACAGTAGTATCGACACTAATTGCATCAATATCAATACTGTTCATTAAAATTCTTCAAATTTAAACCTGTAGTATAGTACTGTTCTTCCAGTACCGATACCCCTACCTAGATTTACCAATTTCATCCCGATTTGTACTAGCTTTTCCTTTAAATCTCTTACTTTTAGTTCCAACAATACTATTAAACTCTTATTTACTTAACCCAACTAATATTCCTTCATTTAACCTCTTATAACTTCTAAAATCTCCAAGGAACATCTCAACCCAAGAATCGTACCACTTTTCCTAACATGTTTTTAATCACATCTCAAGCTTCTAATCTCTTATTTACTTCTTTGACAAGTCAAATGTACTCATAAACCTCAATAAAAACTCATATATCAATATTTCATT